ACTGTCCCACTGAAAGCGGTATGAACTTACAAAAACACTGCTGGATAAAGTAAAATACCCATATTTTCTAATAACATAAAAAGGGAGGAGATCTTGGAAATTATCCATGAAACACAGAGGGACTGGGCTGTGCAAACAGACAAACTTCAACTGCACAGACAGTTTCTTGGCATTTATGAGCACTGGCAGGATTTTGGGAAAAGGAAGGCTCTCTTGCAAGCTGGAAAACAACAGAATTAGCAGAACAGCTCAAATTTCCTATGAAAAGTAATGGCTCAAAAATGCTACAGTCTTTGTATGCAGACAAATATGAATCGGAACAGTTCAGTCGTAGGCTCAGGAAATGTCTATATCAATTAAACAGCCCCTTTTATCTCTTAATAATTATACGTTTCTTTACTTCTTGTTATCTCTAGCTTTAGCTTCTTCTAAGGGCAGGAGGAAAAGGGTTCCCATTCTTCATGAGTATTACTATGGAAATTTATTTGAACGTACTTCAGCTGTGTGTCAGATCTGCACTGTTTCTTTACCTTTAAAAGCAATGCTATGGTGTCGATTCGCGTCCAACAGAAAACAGGATGTAATTCAGCGAAGCAGCAAAGGGCCTGCTGGGGCAGTCGGAGCTCTTGCTGGCAGCATCTCTGAAGTTCACTAGCAGTCAGAATGGGAATGATTTATTTATTTATTTATTTTAGAGCAGACTTTTCACATCAAAGAAAGTAATTGAGAAGGACTGTGAAGTGACAGGAGAAGGGACTGCTCACCAGATTTTTGGCAGGGTTTTTGTTGTTTTCCACAGATTTTAGCATTGTGCACTATAATTACCTGGAAACATTTATAAACGTCTGCATGCCTGAGATATTTGAAGCAATAAGAGGTTCAAGATAATAATTAGTTTATTAGTTTGGCTGCCATTTTAAACTTTCTTATTACATACGAACGTACTGGGTCACGGTTCCACTAGCCCAACCTCCTGCCTTAGGCACTAGCCAGAGTTAACACCTCAGTAAGAGTTCAAGAATAGACAGAACTAAAACTATATTAGTGCTGTTTAATCATTATCTTAAATGGCTTTTTGTTTTTCATTGACATTTCATAGAAATTAACTCAGACTGGTTCAGAGAGCAAATATACCTTTATGATGGTGCTTTACGTATTTTTGGACTGCATGCTCACATTATTTAGGTTTAATTTATAGCTTACTTCTAGGCATAAACTTACATGACTACACTTGGGAAAAGAAAACGAGTTTTGTCATTGTAAGGGGTGGCTGCTCCTGTTTTTCTTAATCTTTCAGTACAAAATGAGAATAACCATCTCCAATTTGAAGAATGGTTATCAAAAACTCTTCTGATTGTGGTTAAAATTACCTGCTCAACTGCAAATTGATGTTTAGTATTGTGTTTAGTATTATTCAGTATTTGCTCATTAAATGAGAGTTACCAGCAAGCTTGCTGAGAAGTTGCAAGTTGCTCTGCTGCCTTACAAATGGAAGTTTTTGTCATAAATCCTGAAGATGATGGTTGCTTGTGTTATACACAGGCCTTCAGGAACGAACCGAACTACAGACTGGTAATAGAAACAACTGAGTAGTATTAGATTACTGCAGTCGCCAATAAAAGGATGCTTACAATCCACTAAATTAAAAGTGGAACACCCCAAAATGCTACAGAAATAGTAGTAGTACAGTTCTACTCATAAATGAGTTACCAAAACACAGCAATATTAAAAAAACTATAGAAGAATAATATAACATTATGTTTTCACCTTGTCATTTTTAAGGTGTGAAGGGCTGCCTGTTTCATTCCTTCTTAGTCCAGGGCTTTATCTTAAGTTCACAGTTGCGTTACGTCCATTGCTCTGAGATTAAAGATGAGGGCCAGTTTACTTAAAGCTTAATTGTTTTATCTTGGGAGACTTCAGCTGTTTACAAAAGAAGATTTTTGAAGTCATTCCTGAGTTTCAGAGCGAGCTGCTTATAATTCCCGAGCTCTCTCGATGCTACAACAATCATAGTAAATTCCGAATTAAAATAAGCATTAACATCAAGAAGCTAAATGAGCTTTAAATATTTGGAGCAGATGACAATTACTGGGATATACATATTTGAAACTTTCTCCATGTTGGAACTATAGAGCGTTTAGCGTATGATTGTGTAATTTAGAACGTAAACAAATTACATTATAAATAATAAATTTTGTTTAACTAAAGGAAAGTTTCCAGTATTAAACCTGACTATTTGGCCCATGTGTTTAAAAAAATTAAAGTTATTTGGGATTAGCTTGCACTTTATGCTTTTTCTCTGTAGTTTTGGAATCAGTTTATGTGCTAAGAATTAAATGGTTAGGAACCCATTTACAGTTGTTACTTTAAAAAAAAAAAAAAAAAAAAAGCTACTGCATCAGTAACGTGGGCGAGATCACAGCATTTCCCTTAGTGGTAGATATTTGCAACACGTGAAAGAATGCTCTGCATATGGATTTTTGCCTTTTTTGTTTTTTCTTGTAGTTGACAGTTGTTGAAGAAGTTCTCTCATGAACATCATGCTATTTCAGAAGCTTTTCAAAAGACTCAAAAGATTTAAGTCTGAATTTCTTGTTTCAGCATAAAGCTTCTCTAGATAGTTGAGTGTTCTCCAAATCTATTGACGTTTAAACTTGTGATGTGATGTTTTCTAAAGCAATAAAGGAGCTGTAAATTTAGAGAGTAAAGTAGTAAGCTTCTAGTCTAAGGGTATGTATGAAAATGTGTTAACTTTTCGAATACAAAGATCTAAAAATAAAACTTGTAAGACTATATTAGTGAGACCTATTGTGTATTTATCGTTTATCTATCTGGCTTAACATGTTGCAGAAAAGTTACGTTATTCTTAAAACTTGACACAACAAAAACCTTTTATAGTTTGACCTGTACATGAAAGAATAGACACTAGCTTTTGTATAATATGTGGCCAACCTCAAGTTTTTCTTTCTGAATTAACTGGAAAATACTTCCTCATGCAGGGAAGCTGAATTAACGCTAGTAAGAGAGAAACGCAACTGTCTCTGTGATCTCCTAAAAGTGCCCAGACCACAGCTAGTACCCAAGGTAAAGTATGGGATTGCGTGCCTGAATTTTTAAAGAAACATTGTAATGATCAGTCGTTCCACCAAACACGCTGTATACGGCTGTTCTTCACTGGGTCACGGATATATAAATGTGTACCTAGAGAAGCGTCCTCAAAACTAACTACAGAATATATGGAATTGCTGAAGACTGTGTTCTTAAGCCCTTCCAGTCATTTCTTGAAAACATTCCAGACTGGTGGTGTGACATCCTACTCGGACAAAATGCAAGAATGAAATAATATAGCCCACATGTTTCAATAACCATTTGCCTGCCCTTTCAGGGCAGGGAGAGGAGGGTAAAAACTTCCCAGTCAAATTCCACAGCAAAATGGTAAGGTGAGCTGTTACGCAAGTCACAGAATTTTAGCATTACCTAAGGGCAAAAATATATTCTAAAAGCTAGTACGCTCCTGAGAACAAAGGCAATATATCCATAAATTGATCCTTTTTCCTTTTAATGCAGATATTTGGGAATTGCCCATCAGCTCAATTTTTTTTTAGAAATACAGAATTTTCTGCTTTTATAAGAATTCCTCAGTCTGTGAAAAGTTCCTTTCCTCTCTGTTCAAAGATGGGAAGGCTCAGTAAGCAAGATAGATAATACTGAAGAAAATAATCAAATAGATTTCGCCACGTTCAGCTCTTAAGCACTTAATACTTGTGAACTGGCTCTATTTGGTATTATATTACATGAGTCTTTAAGGTCAGCCGGTTCTTCCTGTTTAATAGTCTGATAATCCTTTACACTGAAGATGTTTCCTAATGTAAGTAAATCCTATGTTTTGAGTTGTCATGGCTATAAAAAAAATACAGACCAGTATTTAAGGAATCTATGAATAACCTTCAAAGACAACTTGCTGTCCCCAGAGCAGTTTCTTTACTTGTCTTCCCAATTCTTATGGGGTCCTTTCCGCAGTTTTAGGTCAATGTTTAAAAAAACAAAACAAAACAAAAACCCAAAACCTGCGACTAACACTTTTGTCATTTTAGAAAATAAGAATCTTAACCTCTTGCCTATACGAAGCATTCTTATTTAGAGCAACAATTGACCTAAGCATTTCCATTTCAAATGAAAAAAAGTAGTTTTAAAATTAATCTTTTTCTAGTCAGCTAATAGAAGTGTTCAAAATGAAGAAGATACAAGATTAACTCACTGATCTCAAAAACGTATTTCAACGTATTAATGTTGAAATGGAGGCCGAGAGAAGCCTGACAAGTGAAAAGAAAACAGTCTCTGATTTAAAAAAAAAAAAAAATATATAAGACATACAGGAAATCTGGGCACTTCTGTGGCTGAGGTTGGTACTTGGTCTTTTCTTCCTCTTTCAGCTTTAGCAAATAGTAACTAAAATATTTAGCAAAGAGAGTAGGCCGTCACCTGCCCTGAGAACTGTTGGAGTTCACTCTTTGCGAGTGATACTCACTGAACTTGAAGGGCTTTTCACAGCTGCCCAGTCCAGTGGCAAACGCCCCTAGTAGCAGCCAGTCTGCGCTCATACCAGAGTGCACAGCACTCTACTTTTCTTCAAGAGCTCACATATCCTGAGAACAGAGGAGAAACAAGCAGTGTAAGGGAAGGCCAAGCATAATGTTATGAAAAGGTAAATAAAGTTTGTTTCAGCTGAAATCAGCACTTACGATTCTTGAAAAAAAACTTGCGCAACTAGCATTTATTCATGGGTAGTTAAAAAAAAAATTAAAGTGTTATAAAAAGACTGTAAACGTGACTTCCTATTGTCACATTTTCATCTCCAATTAGCTCACTTATTACATGATTGTGAGATTCTCTGCTCCTTGTGACCTCTTCTTTTTTCTTTCTCTTTTGTAGAGCGCAGCGTAATGAAGTTGCTGGCACTGGCTGTTGCTTTGTAAACCGAAACTCTTGGTTCAGGTGTCGTTAAGAACTGAAAGAGTTTGTGCTGTGGCATCTTGACAAACTGGATTGTCAGCAAAGCTGCAAAAAAAGAGGCAGAGAATATGTTTTAAAGCATTGTGCAGATGTGCCCTAGGAAGGCAATAAAGATTCATTATGTTTCAGTTTTTAAATTCATTATCTGTAGCCACAAGATGGCAGTTTGTCTTCATACGTCTGTCACAATTGACCTGCTTTTTTGCTCTCAATGATTCACACTTCTACAGCTTTGAATGGAGCCATTCAACCTGTGCTTGCCCAAATGTAGCACCACTGCTGTATACACGTGACGTATTAAACCCGACTTGCTTCATTATTCTCTTAAAAGAATTATTTTTCAGTGGTAAGAAAGACTGGCAACACTTAGCGGTAATGAAATCTTCCTGAAGGCAAAGTATCTCTCTGGAGAAGCCCGTCATTCTTATGTCATAGACAAACAAAAATATCCAACCTTCACTTAATCAAAAGTCAAAGCCTCTTTTAACAGCGCTTTATGTATGTAACCCATTTGAGCAAATGTTTGTGTGGTAAACAGGCTTTAGAGACTCAAGTGTCATTTTTTTCCCCTTGAAGACTACAGTGGCGATGAATCAGCTTTTCAAGCAACTGCTAGGAATTTAGGCCACTCCTTACTGACCATAAAAGAAAATGGCTATAGCAGTAGTGCTCGTAACATTTATCTTTACTAAGACTAACCTAGTCAGGTTAGTAGGACAAATGCACAGGTGAGATGATACTGTAATTATACCCTGTTATTTGATGGTTCTAATTAAATCCCACTATCCCAGCCCTTCATATAGAACAGCAGTTGTATATGCATATATATGTACATTTGAAAGAAAGGAAAAGTTCAGGAGGAGGAACTAAAAACGAGCGTGTTTTTCTGTGAGGTAGCTGGGTTGCTCAGTGCTACAGACTGCAGTCGTCTTCGTTTCCAAAACTATGACCTGTCTTACTGTTGAGATTCCTTTTCTTTTTCAAGAGACTAACTGTAAATGACAACTTACATATTAGTCAACATTTTTGAAGTATACTTGCAACCTGGCCTGGGTTAAAGTTAATCTCTCTCTCTACACTTCTGCTGGCTTCAGGCCTTGCTTGATGTGTTTTTACTGTTTCCTGGTGCTAACAGGCCTCTTGCCATCTAATGGGCTGTGTTTGATTGATAGTTATTTAAACCAGATCTGCAACTTAACAATCCAACTGGGTTTGCTAAATAAGTAAGTCAGTCATGTACAATAGTAAAGAGAACAAACACCATTATCAGTGGTGGCACTAAGCTGTCCCTTAGGAAGGGGTTAATCAGAGCAAAAATTAATTTAGTGAAGCACAAATGACTACAAAAATGTCAAACCGCCAAATACTTTGATACAGCTACATGGAGGATACCATGTAGCTTCAAGATCACTGCCCTACCTCAGCTTTTAGTTGAAGTGATAATAATCCAGCCCTTCTTTCAAGTTCAGCGTGTTTAAGTTTTCTTCAAATGCTCCACCTGTCAAATCCTGGGGGG